GCCACGTGGACCACGTTAGGTGTGCTGTCGCCACGTGCTGACATCACGGCCGCTCTGGAAGTGGGGAAGGGAAGGACGGCACCGTGCACGCGTAAGACCACCGCAAGCAAATGAGGAGTTACTACGGGGGTTGACGATGGGAGTTGCGCTGAGGACTGACAGGATTGCGCTGACCAGTGTGGCGATGCCACATGGACCGCGTTAAGTGTGCTGCCGTGGACCACGTTAGGTTGTGAGGGAAACGGCAACGGGTGACGGAGGTGGGGTGCCTCGGGCAGGCCACATGCTGCCACGGGGGAGCCACGGGGGAGCCAACCAACCACTTCGCCGATGGGGCAAGACTGAGAGAGAGAGGTAGAGAGGGATCGGCGGGAGTGTACGAGAGATAGGCGGGAGTGTACGATTTGGGATCGGCTAAGGTAAGAGCGTTATGCTTGGAGCGAGACTGAGGGAGAAAGGCAGAGAGGGATCGGACGCCACGTGGTCCACGTTAGGGGTGTTGTCGCCACGCGCTGACATCACGGCCGCTGCGGAAGTGGAGAAGGGAAGGACGGCATCGTACACGCGTAAGACCGCCGCAAGCAAACGAGGAGTTACTACGGGGGTTGACGATGGGAGTTACGGGGGTTGACGATGGGAGTTGCGCTGAGGACTGACAGGATTGCGCTGACCAGTGTGGCGATGCCACGTGGACCGCGTTAAGTGTGCTGCCGAGGACCACGTTAGGTTGTGAGGGAAACGGCAACGGGTGACGGAGGTGGGGTGCCGCGGGCAGGCCACATGCTGCCACGAGGGAGCCACAGGGGAGCCAAACAACCACATCGCCGATGGGGCGAGACTGAGAGAGAGAGGTAGAGAGGGATCGGCGGGAGTGTACGAGAGATCGGCGGGAGTGTACGATTCGGGATCGGTGAAGGTAAGAGCGTTATGCTTGGAGCGAGACTGAGGGAGAAAGGTAGAGAGGGATCGGCGGGAGTGTACGATTCGGGATCGGCGAAGGTAAAAGCCTTATGCTTGGAGCGGATGGGCGAAACTAGGACACGGGGAGACAGATTGCGGAGACATGATTACGGGGGTTCGGCGAGAACATCGGGGCACAAAACCCTGATCGGTGCATCGATCGCTTGCTGCCACGGTGGAGCTTGCCAATAGCTTTGCCCCAATCGCTTATCCGTTGGGGCGGGACTGACGGAGAGAGGGGCGGGACTGACGGAGAGAGGCAGAGAGGGGTCGGCGGGTGGGTGTGGTTCGGGATAGGCGGAGGTAAGACCGCTATCTCGACGACGCGCAGCCCGATCGCGTCAGGATATGGACAGGGGCAGACGGGCTGCGGAGACACGTTAACGGGGCATCGACGACAACAGCGAGCCACAAAACCCTCGTCGAAGCAGTGATCACTGGGTATGCGCTCGACGCAGTCACGACATTCGAAGCGCGAGCTTCTCCAACTACGTGCTGGTTTGCACCCCCCTTGCCATCCCGCATACCCCCTGATTGCTATCCCGCATACCCCCTGCTGGCCTCCCTACCTCCCTCCTGGTGTGATCAATCTCCGACCTGTCACTGACAAAGCCTGGCCCTTGTGCTCCCTCTCATACCCCCTGCTGGCCTCCCGGCCCCCCTCCTGGTGTGATCAATCTCCGACCTGTCACTGACGAAGCCTGGCCCCTGTGCTCCCCCTCATCCTTCATCCCCTTTCCTCACAAACGGCCGCTGGTATACAAACGACCACCGGCACGCACCGCTCGCGCGTGTCCTAATAGGACACGGTGAAAATTGGAGCCGATCAAATGCCCCCGTCTTCTTTACAGTGCCAAAAACCGAAAGGGACAACACTGCAAGAACGCTCTGCCCGACACGATGATGGCCGGGTGGTTCATGCACGCACAAAACAAATGGATATGACAAATGGCCCCACGGGACAGGACGACGGCTCTACGTCAGAAATTCACAACACGAATACAACTAAAGATAGGAGGGCACCCTCTGGCAGTGGAATGGGCTCGGAGCGACAGGATGATGGCCGACAGCCACAAACACATGTTACAGATTCCTGGAAAGACAAAGTGGCACCCGTGGGAGGTGGGTGGATTGTCACTCTGCCCCCTGCCTCCTCATCAGAGCACACACACAAGCCACCACCCCAATTGCTTCGAGCACTGTCGGCGCTGGGACGACCAGACAAGGGCGAGTCGTCCACCCTGGCCCCCATGGCTCCTCTAAAAAGCCACCTCATACAACAATTGTACGTAGCACCGAAGAGGAAAATTTAAGTCAAACAGGGCTACATATACCCACACTCGATCTTCTCACCCCGCGCTTGGGCGACCAAGGATGAAATCTACACACAGAGGGCGGTGCAGTTTAGATTTCAACCAATTCACTGGTCGCTCTCGGTTAATGAGAAGGTCAAATGGATTATAGAAAAGCTGGAGAAAATCAAATATGATCGACAACTGGTTCAGGATCACTTCCTAATCGAGGTGGATAGCCCAGACTGTGTTACGGTTGTTGCCCTCTACCCGGCTGACAAACAACTGCTCTTGAGAAACAATCGCCTGCAGTTTCGGGGTAAACATGTGCAACTATCCCCATGGTCCCCAACATACCCGCAATCCGCTGATGAAAGAAGAGAGTATCTGATGAGATCAAACTTTTGGGTGGAGTTTCGGTTCGCCCCCCTATGTGTACAAGGGGCCATCCTTGCGGACTTGGAGGGCATTGCACGAGTTAAAGGTTACATCACAGACGTACCCCACTTCCTTGGGAAGAGAGACGACTCTCTACTGGTTGCCGTGGAATGGGACCCGGAATACCCCTTCTCCCTCAATGAGGAATGGAGATACTCCCTGGGGGGTAAGGAGTTCTCGGTCCCAGTCAGCCACACCCAGGACCCGTGGTGCTATGCATGCAAGCAGAAAGGACACCTGAGCACAGATAATGAATGCCCAAAAAATGAGCATAAACTGAAAATCAAGGGACTTGTTACCCCGCACCCCGACGGTGAGGAGAAATGGTATCCGGAGGAGAAGGAACTCCAGGGCTGGATGTTCAGGGCATATGCAGACGGTCGCCCGGGCCAGTGGATATGGCAGGGGAGGGGCAAGCCCGCAGCGTCTCCTTCAGGCGCCGAGCTGGTCATCCCTGTGGATCACAAACAAAAAGGCAAACAACAGGAAACCCACGGTACGGGCAAAACCCGAAACAACTAGCAGAATACCACAGATGGGGAAAGCAAGCACAGGTCGGTGAAAGACGATGGGGGTGACAAACAACATATGCAACCACCACTGCACCAGAAAATCCAGGGTGTGGACAAAACACCGAACAACCAGCAGGATACCGCAGATGGGGGAGGCAAGCACAATCTGTCAGACGACGGGGGTGACAAACAACATATGCAACCACCACCGCACCAGAAAATCCAGGGTGCGGACAAAACCCCGAACAATCAGCAGGATACCGCACATGGGGGTGGCAAGCACAGTCTGTCAAAAAATGATGCTGGTGACAAACAACACAAACAACCAGCACCGCTTGCTCACCCGCCTGCGTCATCCAAGCCACTGGTGACTCCCCCACACCAGACGTATAAGCCAAAATCTATGACAACGCCGGGTGATGCGAACCAGCACAAAAGATATACGGAAGGGCTGTCCCCCGGCAAGCACAGGACCACACCCACCGACCTCACCTTGCAGCAAAACCTGCTCGTGCAGCAGGAACAAGACTCCGCCCAGGCAAACAAGGATGGGGTAGTGCACCAACACATAACTACCTCTCGATCCGGGGAGACGATACCACAGCATCAGGCGGGTGTCGATGGAGCACATGGAACAGACGCTGCCCCGCCACAACACCAATCCGACGGAACACAGGTGGGAGTGCATGGAACTGCCGCTGCCCTTCCACAACACCAATCCAAGGGAACGGGCTGTGCCTCTGAGTCCGGAGGTGCACTGCCTCTTGCACCTCCCCTGCCCTCCAACAACTCGGGGTCAGCCCACCTCGCACGGGACATAGCCCGGCCCCAGCAGCAGGAATGGCAGATCTCAAAGGCGCAGACTGATGGGGCGGCGAACTCCCCCACACCCACCGCCCTGACCTTGCAGCAAAACCTGCTCTTGCATCAGGAACAAGACTCCCCCCTGGCAAAGAAGGATGGGACAGTGCAACCACACATAACTACTACACGATCCGGGGAGGCGATACCACAACATCAGGTGGGTGTCGATGGAGCACATGGAACAGATGTTGCCCCGCCACAGCACCAATCCGAAGGAACACAGGTGGGAGCGCATGGAACTGCTGCAACCCCCCCACAACACCAATCCAAGGGAACACGCTGTGCCCCTCAGTCCAGAGGTGCACTGCATTCTGCACCCCCCCTGGCCTCCAAGAACTCGGAGACAGCCCACCTCACATGGGACATAGCCCGGACCCTTAGGGAGGTGTGGCTCAAAGCCAACTCTCTGCTTAACAAACTCAAAGAAGCTGCCTTCCCCCAGCACCCGGAGCCCCCGCCGCCCCAACACCAGCAGCGCCGTTTGCAAACAGACCCCCAAGAAGAGAACGGAGGGGCGTATACACCCCAACTGAGGACGGAGAAACAAGGGGACCCGCATGATCAGCCGCCAGACCCTGGCCGCCCTGCCGCAAGGATGGTCATCTCTCAAGTAACGGGGGAAGCCAAATTTCTGCCTCCCAATCTGCCTCGGAATCCGAAGCAGGAATTGCGGCGAATTCGGGAGCTGGAACTTGAACATGATGCTGTAACTGGACAGCGCCCCCAACAAGTGCAAGAGATCGAGCCGAAGGACCAATCCACACAACAGCAAGGCTCGATGCTGCCACAACCAGGCCACCAACAGCCACTCCAGCAACCTCATCTGCAACTGCAGCACACGACGTTGCAGCCACCAAACGGCCTAATGCAGCAACAGCAGCACCAAGTTCGGGACCGCCCGCAGCAGATGGAGCACCGACCAGACCCTCACATGGAGCACATGCAGCTCTCACAACTCCAACTGCAATCAACGCAGCGACCGCAGCACCAGCCACCCCAACATGTACAAGACATTAAGCCTGAGGATTATTCCTCACAACAGCAATGCCCGAGGCTGCCACAGCCAGGCTCCCAACAGCCACTCCAGCAACCCCAACTGCAGGTGCTGCACACGACGTTGCAGCCACAAAACGTCCTGATGCAGCAACACCAGCACCCAGTTCTGGACCACTAGCAGCAGATGGAGCACCAACCAGACTCACAACTCCAACTGCATGCAATGCAGCAACCGCAGCACCTACAACATCTTCAGCAGGCAGCCTAGCAAGAACAAACGCTGACACATCAACAACAGCAACATCAGCTGCATCAACAACAACAGGTCCAGATGATGGCAGCCCCACATCTCCAAGAAGTGGTGGTGCACCACCCGCAACAACAGTTGCATCCGCTGCAACAGACCGTGCAAAACTTGCAGCAACATGCGGTGCACGAAGTGGTGTTGCACCACCAGCAACAGCAGTTGCATCCGCTGCAGCAAACCGTGCAAAACGTGCAGCAACACGCGGGGCACGAACAGGTGCATGAAGTGGTGTTGCACCACCAGCAACAACAGTTGCATCCATTGCAACAGACCGTGCAAAACGTGCAGCAACATGCAGGGCACGAACAGGTGCAGCAACATGCGGGGCACGAACATGTGCATGAAGTGGTGTTGCACCACCAGCAACACCAGTTGCATCCGTTGCAACAGACCATGCAAAACGTGCAGCAACATGCGGGGCACGAACAGGTGCACGAAGTGGTGTTGCACCACCAGCACCAACAGTTGCATCCGCTGCAGCAGACCGTGCAAAACGTGCAGCAACATGCGGAGCACGAACAGGTGCAACATAGCTCAGACTGTGCTGACCAGCTAGGCCTCCTTCTGCAAGCACAGCTGGCACAGTACCACCATCAGCAGCATTAGCATAGGGTCTTGCACCAGCAGCAAATATTGCAGCAACTGCATCTGCAGTGGCAACAGCAGCTCTGCTGCCAACAGGAATATATCTTGCAGCAACAGCAGCAGCATCTACAACAATTTTGGCAGCATGAGATGGAAATGCAGAAACAACAACAACAGCAGAGCCACACACTGCAATGCCCCCAGATAGCGGCACAGGACCCCTCGCCTCACATTGTGGATGCACAGAACGTACAAGACATGGACACCTCGGCCCCAGACGAGGTGCCACAAACAACGCAATGTCATAGTCTGGAGGCGGGCTCAGGGGGAGAGGATACTGTGATGACCCAAGCAGTGGCTCCCTCACCGCCGGATAGCCCACCTCCCCCCCCTCCACCACTAGCACACGATCAGGAGGTCAAGCAAAAACTGGCTTTCCTCACTGAATGGACCCTGAATAAGATCTTTTCCATGGCAGAGGAGGGGTCACAGAGCAAACTCACCACCCGTTACTGGGCCCAGGCTAAGGAAGTTCTCATGTTCACCCCGCGGGTTCGCCACGGTGGAAAAGTACAGCAATGTGCAGGCTATAGATTGGATGGATGTGGGCGCTGCAATAGTCCTGGTGGTCAACGAATTCCTGGACAAAATACAACAATATGCAGAGACTACATTCGGCCACAATCAGGAAATGCAAGGCTCAACCACTGTTGAGGCATTCTACCACGAAGGGCTGGCATGGCCCAAAACGCTGGTCCACGAGCTCAGTACTACCCTCCATGGCCCTGAGACCGCTGCACCCACCCAACTGGAACAATGACAGAGTCAGCGCCTTACATGGGAACCGCAACCGCAGGATGCTGGTCAACAAGCCACACAGTCCCGGGGCCGCCGAAGACCAATGATTCTGCACGATGACGAAGAAGACGGGCCATCCACCTCTGAGGATGATGAGCAAGGCGCCTCAAATACTGGCGCCTCAAATACTAGCGCCTCAACAAGCCACAACAGTAATCTTAAAACGCCTCAAATACTGGCGCAGGGAGACGCAACTGGAAGGGGTCCAAGGCGCTGTGCTGCCACGCTCGTTGTCATTGCCCGAGGGAATTATCCCGGTTATTGTCCTCATGAGTCCGAAGACTGCAGGCCCGAATGCAAGGACATCACACACATGGTTCACTCAACAACAAATAATGAACCTGCCAGCGGATCGATTTAGGACGAACTTCGCCTGGACCGCGACCAAGGTGCTATGGTTCATGCAAATCTTGATGAAGGACAGTATACTGGATGAACACAACCAGTGGGATGACCCGCCTTTTGTTCTCCCGATTAAGACTGCAGATTGAATCGATTGCGGCGCACATACGCTAGAGGTAAAAATACACACTCAACTATGAATCCGCCCGGACAGACACCGGACCGCACCGCTGCCATCACAGGCCACCAACCCTCGACAACCCACCGACCGTCTTGTTCTCCTGATAGGCCGCAGCACATTGCTGACCCGGCTGCTGCTTTGTCTACACACCCCATCACCCGCCACTGCACTGCGACGCCTGACCCAGACCGCCCTCCCGGCCCGATGCCCCCCCCCCCCCCCCCCCCCCCCCGCCCAATGCCCCCCACCACCAGTGACGATCCCCCCTATTAGGAGGAAGCCCCATTGGCTGTCAAAGTTAGAAAAAGCAGATATTGACATACGCTCGTTGAATGTCAACGGCCTTATCCAAGCAACGACACCTAAGAAGGACGCCATATGGGACATGCTCAGGTGCCCGGAAACCAGATCATGGCCGGATGCAATATGCATCCAAGAAACTCACCTGCAAGACACATCTCCGCACAATGCGAAGGCAAAAGCGATTTGGCCGTACACACTATACGCGGCGCCTGCACGCGAAAGAGCGTCTGCGGGTGTCGCAATCTGGCTTCCGCCGTCCTCAAAATTGAAACCTCTGGAGGTCCAACATGACAAACTGCACGGCAGGTGGATTTGCCTGAAACTGCAATACGACGAAGAGGTTTTTTATCTGGCCAGCGTGTACGCACCCAATGATAGCGCCGCCAAGGTGGACTTCTGGCTCACCCTACATGAAGCTCTACCTGATGACGCCCCGCTTATTCTTGCAGGAGACTTCAATACCACGCTAGACCCAGTGTTGGATAGAAGATCCATGAGTGCACACCAGGACCATGCTTCCTCTTCGATGTCTGTGCAACCCCCGGACATTTGCTTCCTCAAACAACTCATGGCAGACAGGCAGCTTGTGGACGCATACAGACAACTGCACCCTACTCACAGAGCCTACACCTGCCTGTCGTTTAGAGGTGAGCAAGGCCTGGCCCACTCATGAATCGATCTGACGCTGGTATCAAACAATATGATGGGTCTTGTCACGACGACGGAAATAACGACAATTAGCCCCTGTAAGTCGTTTGATCATAGGATGGTCACGCTGGGCCTGTCATTTCATAACCATATCCAGCGAGGGCCAGGGTTTTACAAGCTCAACGCCTCCTTGCTTCCCTTACCCAGTTTTCAAAAACTGGTCAATGAATTTTGGGAATATTGGCAGACTCAGAAACCCGCTTCAGGGGAGAGAGTGAGTTGGTTTAATAATGGAGTGGCGCAGCTAAGGGAGAGGTCTAAGAAATTCTCCATCCAGCATGCGCGAGACTGCAAGGCTTGCCTCGAAAGCCTTATGAAAAAGCTGGAAGACTGGGATGACACACTCATGAACGACCCGCTGCACCGCCCCTCCTATGATAAGCTGCAAGAGGCCCGTGACCACCTCCAGGAATATGTCGAATGGCAGGCGCAAGCATGGAGAATCCAGGCTAAAATCAAAAAACACCACACAGATGGGACAATGGCCAAAAGCTTTTTTGCAAAAGCCAGAGCGAGATCTCGAGCAGCCACAGTTCCCAGACTTAATCACCCGCTGGATGACAACGCCGAGCCAGCAAATAATGCATATGCAATCACGGACTATGCGGCCAGATATTATACTGACTTGTTCACTCCAGAGACGCCCTCCAAACCCCCAGACCAAGTACTTCAAGCGAGGCAATCTCTTCTTCAGGCTATCCAACCCTCCTTGTCACAGCAACAAAGAGCCACCTTGGACGAGCCCATCTCCTCTCAGGAGGTCTGGGATGCCCTACAAGACATGGAAGATGAAAAGACTCATGGAATCGACTCCTTCCGTAAGGAGTTTTGGGTGCGATTCTGGGACCTCTTTAAGGACGATCTCATGGAATACATCGAGGCGGTGCAGAGAGAAGGCTCCCTTGGAGGGATGATTGGTCAAGGCGTGACTACTCTGTTATATAAGAAAGGTGATAAAGAGAATATACGAAACTATAGACCTATCACCCTTCTCCCGGTCCCCTATAAGATGGTGGCTAAAGTCCTGACTAACAGGTTGCTGCCGTTCATGAATGTGCTGGTTCACCCGGACCAGACAGGATTCATGCCCAATAGAAATATACAGGATAATATCCTGCTGGTCAACGAGACCATCAAATATGCCCGACAACGAAAAGTTCAAGCCGCGATCCTTTTCATTGACGTCGAAAAAGCATACGATCATGTGGATTGGGACTTTCTCGACATGTGTTTGCTTAAAATGAACTTCGGCCCGGGCTTCTACCAATGGGTGCACCTTCTGCATAGGTCGGCCACAACTAACGTGATGCTGAATGGCCACCTTTCACCGCCTATTCTTCTCCAACGATCAGTGCGCCAAGGAGGCCCGATTGCGCCGCTGCTGTTCGTGGTTGTCATGGAGGCCCTCGCATCAATGATAAGAGCCCACCCCGGCATCAGCAGAGTGCCTATCCCGGACATCCCACGACATCTCATTCCAGTCACATCGCTCTTTGCAGACGATTTGACTGTGCTAATACGCGCCGACCCGGAGAGCGTTCAGGCCCTCACCCATGTTGTCCACCTATTCTTGCTTGCAGCAGACGTGAAGGTCAACTGGGGTTCCAAAACTGAGGGGTGGTGGCTCCACCCTCAAGGGCAATCACCCCCGCCTGAGCCGACTGTAGCATGGGCCCGAAAAGACGACGCCATCAGGATACTGGGGGTCCGATTGACTGCGGAGGGCCCGCCCCCGGACCATGGGGACAGGTTGGTCAATATGGTCGTGGACCGCCCGGCCACCTGGGAGGGCCTCCACACATCGCTGGTAGGACGTGCTCTAGCAATTAATAGTGCTATGCTTGCGGTCATCTGGTATAAACTCGCAGTTTGGCCACTGACCAAACAGCAGTACACTAGATTGAAGAGGGCCCTAACAACATACCTTCGGAAAAACAGCGCTAAGGCTCAGGGCTGTATCAACAGGGTGAACTGGGACGTCCTTACACAGCCCAGGTCTTAAGGGGGGCTCGGTATCCTGGATCCGGAAAGACAAGCGGATGCGGTCTTCTTCAAAGTCCTCATCCGTCTGCTTATGGGAAATGATATCCCCTGGGTGCCGCTTGCCTGCCTGCAACTGGCCAACCTGGCCCCTTCAAACTGATGTACCGGGGAAGGTCCATCCGCTCCAATGGCTAACAAACAATTGTTGGACTGTCCCATCGCCCCCCAAACAAACGCAGCTCCCACACGAGCCTGACCCTGCACATGCAACAAAGCAGGATATCAAGGCAGATCCGCTCTGGCCCTTCATGATCAAACTTTGGAGACGCAGGGGCCCCCGACGAAAATGCCCTCCAAACAGGTGGCATGATATATGGAGGCAACCCCTCTTCGGAAACCCACACGTCCTACAAGAATCGGGCCAACCTTTCTCCCTAGCGACTAACTCCCCTTGGCTCACTTGGGTTAAAAAGGGGATCTTCATGGTTGGGGACCTGTGGGACCCCGTGGTAGGGGAGTGGGCAACCCCGACCCAGCTACGGCATAAACTTAAACATGTCAAAAATGTGGAAGAGAAGGCTAACCTGCTAAAAGAAGCCCTCCCCATTGCTTGGCGCCTCACCTTGAAGGAAGGACCGACAGTCCGGCGCAATGACTGGGTGGTGAGATATTCGGACTCCCCAACCCCCCTGCTGGTGTTTCACGTCAAAGACAATAAGCAGGGCACCTGTGAACTGGAAGCATATGAGCCCCAACTCCCCGGAGCAAGGTTCACCAGACTGCTGAGAAATGAGGATCTGGATACCACAGCCGCATGGGGGGGACTGATGCAGGTGAGGGTGGTGGGGGACTGGGAGAACGGATATTATGCATATGAGACCACTGTTCCCATTGCCAAGCTCCCGTTCGACCTGGCGGAATGGGAGTGGCCCGGCACCAAACCAATGAATATCTGGGACTACACAGTAAAAGGAGGATACCGCACATCGCGACAAGCACTGACGGTCACCCAAACAGTGGCAAACAGATGGGTGCGGGACTCAGCACTGGACCAGAAATTATCACAATCTTCCGACTGGTCCACATACGCAAGGACCATGCCCACAAACCACAGAGCGTTGCAGTGGCAGATCCTGCACCGCTGCCTTCCCACCCCGGACTGGTTGGTATCGAGGACTAACCTCGAACAGCAGGGAAAGCTCTCCCCCATATGCACATATTGTGCCCATATGCCGGCCAGGGCAACCCTCGAACATTGTCTCCTGCCGTGTTCGATGGTCACCCAGCTATGGCAATGGTGGAATGCGGCCTTCCACTCTCTTGCCGGTCACCACATTCCCTGGGATATCGGCCTCCTCCTGCTTGGAAAGAATCGCCACCTGCTGGATAATTGGTCACTATTTGCAACCAACCTCTTTTCGTACACGAGGCTGCACCTCCTGATGCAGGCCTGGAGGGCCAGATGCTCATTTGAGAGAAAGGACCACCAATTCGGCCTGATGCAGGCGCAACAAGCAGTGGAGGATCTGATTAGATCCCAAACCCGGGAAGCATGGAAAGCGATGAAGCGTGATCTCTCGGAGGAGAACGACCCCCTCACTAGGGAAACAATCCGTGATTCATATATGCAATCCTGGCAAGACCCTGCCAAACTGTTCTCAGAACT